TCCCCTTGTTCATCTTTGCAGGTTTTCTGCCAGGTCGGTCAGTCTGTCCTGTCTGCTTCTGTTTCTTAGCTATGAGCATGTTAGTTCCAGTCTGCAAATCAAGGAGCTTACATTGAGTCTGGACAATTCTCTTCTGGAGAAAATACTCCAGAAACTGTTAGAGCCTTAGCATAGCAGGCAGCTGAAGGAATCTCACTGTCCCTTTTTCCATTCGCCCTTTTACATTGTGATACTGAATTCAATCACATGAGCTCACCAGTTAGGGCAATGTTTCTATTTTGTGTAAGCTTGTACAGCTAATTCATGGACTACATCTACTTCAGTTTCTTGTGTTTGTGGGGTGCTGATCTAGTGTAGATTCGTTTTCTCCAACCTGTATACTTAGTTATTATCATCTGCTGTATTCATGAAGCCCTCTGCATTTGCTAAGGTACCACAAAAAATTGGCGAAGACTCTTGTACCTCTTTGTGATGTTTTAGGGCAGTAAGAATTGTAAACTGTTCATTTATAGAAAACTCCGGAGAAAATCTAGTCCATCCTTCTGTTCAGATCAAAATTATTGTTTTGTCCAGCTGCGTCTTAAAAACCTCCAACAAAAGAGGTTCCACTGCTTTCCTAACAATCTTCCATTGCCTTCCTAGCAAAGAATTTTTTTGTAATGTTTTAAAACTGTTGAGACGCAACTTGTGGCTGTTGCCGCTTGTTTTACCATCTGCCATTGTGAAGAGTGGTTTGGCTGTGCTATCTTCGCAGGTCTCTCTCGCGTAGCTCTAGGTTGCAATTCGATTACAGCTTATCCTCTTCTTGGCAGACTGAGAAAGACCCAAGATTACTTGACTTGTTTGACGTTCAGCTGACAGCCAGTGGTTGACTATCTTTCAAGCACGTTCAGTTAGTTTTCAAACTATGCGAGTCAGTTTATTCAGCCTGCATTTCCTTTGCCTGGAAAGGAGAATGCAGTGGGAGATGATGCCAGAAGTCTTAATGCAATATGCATTACATCTGCATCTTTTCTTTCATTCTTGTAGTCAGGTATTTTATCACTAAAGGCAATCGCGTGGCTTCAGCATGATGCCATAGGAAATTGATTTCCTGTTCTGGATTAACGTCTTTTCCTTTGTGTGATTAGAAGAATACATGCTCCTGTGATTTTTTTTTTTTTTTTCTGGGGGCTTTGGTGAGCCAGATCCGTCTGTAGTGCTGCCCCCCCCCCCCCCCAATCTTTTTTTCCTGTTTTTCTCCGTAGCCATCAAGAGCTCCCCTGATTTACCATGATAGTTTGAGCAGTAGCCTTGCAATTGCATCAGCAATTCTTGTGGCACTTTCAAGTATATCTAGTCCAGTCTCATGAATTTACACACATCCAACATCTGTAGATGATCTCTAAGCTGTAGTTCAGCCCCTTTCGCAAAAAGAGCGAAGTAGTTCAGGTTGCTAAAAGCATTGTCCAGTGTAGCATTGAATATCACCAAGGTTGGAGATTCCACAGCCTCTCTGGGCAACTTCTTCCATTATTTGATAAACCTCATTGTGCATATAGGGAAACCTGTTTGTGATTGGAATTTCCTTCATTGCAACTTTTGACTGCTGGTCCTTGCCCTTTGGACGTGCATCCCATGCTTCAGCATCCATATCATTTAATTGACTCTCTGCAATATGTTGATGTCTTGCGTGGACTGAGGAGTCCAAAACTGGACACAGTACTCCAGATGCAGTCTCTCCAATGCCAGGTAGAGGAAGATGATCATGTCCCTCAACTTGCTGGCTACTCTTGCTAATGCAGCCTTGTGTACACTTGGCCTACGTGGTTCCAAGGGCACACTACTGACTCATTTTCATCTTGTTACCCACCAGTGTCAAATGACACTTAAAACAGGTCTGAGTAGTGTCTTAGGAGTATATCCACTGTCTATTCTCTGTTTTTCTCTTCAGTCCATTTCTAAAGGCCATAAAGTTACAAATTAAAAACCCAACAATAAATAAAGAAAAATCCCTCACATCTTACATAAAGCTAGTACTAGGAAACCTTTTGGGATTGTCTCCGATGGGCAGTTTTTCAGATAACCTTTTCTTCTCTAGAGTGTAATCTTGCTTTCAGGTAGTGTAACATTGTGCATATCAGAAATTAGAAGTGAAGTTAAAAACTGGACAAGAGTCTGTGTGAACCTGAAAAGCCTACCACTCCAGTCCAAAATGTGTTGCTGAGCTTTCTTTTTTTTCCTTGCTTAATTTATGACTTTACGTTGCGCGTGCTACTTGTGAATGAAGAGTTGTCAGTGGAATTTGCATTTGGAGTTGTTCAATGAAATCAATTAAAAATGAACCTTTACAAATCATTTTATTGGTTTATGATGAGAAACTTTGTCTAAAACCTACTTTCTTGGGTGAGGACTTGGTACTCTTGCTACTTGGATTGTAAACACCTCTGAAAAGGGATGACAAGCTAAATGTTGACTTCAGTTGTTGATGTAACTGGGTTTCTCTATCAGAGCTGCTCTTGATTTCTTTCAGCTTCGAGTAATGAAGAAATGAAAGTGGGAATAGTGCATTGCAAAATATACCTTATTACAGTTTAACAGAATTTTATGTTCCAGTCACTGTAAATTAAAGACGACAACATGGCAAATAATGAACTAGTAAAGATGTCTCCTTTGGCATTAAATGATTTTTTTGGGGGGAAGTGGGGGTGAATTAGGGAGATTTTTTTGGGGGGAAGTGGGGGTGAATTAGCGAGGTGGGAGAGAATTGTGCTGTAATTGAAAGTACTCAACAACACTTCTCCCTTCCCTCCTGCAGCGTTTTCTGTTTGTATTATACTCAGTTTTTCCAAGGCAGTACTTGTTAATTCAAAATAAATAATTTTTCTGAATTTTATTTATTTATTTCTTCTGTGTGGCCTGTTGTTTAATTTGAACGTTTCAAAATTTCAGATTAAAACTGGGGGAAGTAAGGAAATGTTCTTTCTAAAAGTGCACTTTTTTAATGTAATCAAATGTAGTTACTTAGAGTTTCATTCAGATCTATTCCCTTGAAGTTGTGTAGCACTGAGAATTTTCCAGTGACTGTTTGTGAAGGTAGTGTCCTCACCTCATGGTCCTGCAGACTTTGTGGATCTCGTGCTTCTGTTCACATGCCTAAAACTTCACAAACTGACTAGTAAATAGAATTTGGATCCTTGTACTCAAAAATAAATGGTCCTTTTTCACTGAACAAAACCATTTGAAGGGTCTAATGTTTAACTAGACACTTTTGATGTTTTAAAGGTCGTGGTGGTATGCACCAATATCAAGTTTTACTGTGATAGGGTGGAGGTTTTTTTGCATCTTATTTTGTCATGTTCTCATTTTGCTTGAATTATCCTAATTCCATGTGCTGATGAATTGCTGCTATATAAGTTGTACATGAAATACTGACTTTTGAACTGGGGAAAGATCATATTCTTAAATCAAGGTGGTTGCATTTTGTCTTGTTAATTTCGAGATAAGGTTTGCTAAAATGTTTTCCTGCAGTGGCTGCATCTGAAGTCCTTGAGAGTTCCTTTTGAGAATTGCTGGCCTATAATCTGGGGTTTTTGTTTACTATTTCATTATGCTTTTTTCTTTGCATGACACATTTCAGTCAACTTCCAGGTTGTACTAGTTAGATACACTAGAGACTAGTCTATTAGATTAATCATTAGACTTAATTCTTTTGTTCCCCCCTTGTGTGTGACTTGAATTACAATTCAATTAAATTTGAAACAGATAAGTTGGATGGCACTTTCCATCACAGATAGTCATGTATTGATTAAAGAATGCATAGTCATTCCTGTAATGATTTACCAAAGTTTTTCAGCTCTGTGTAAGCCAGATCTGTGGCTTCAGGAGCCTGAAATGTGGTTCTTATAAGATTGGAAATATTTTGTAGAGCTTAAATAGCCCTTGAAGTTGATACAAACAGCTTTGTGGACTTACTGAGCACTGATCAGAGCTTCCAAGTGGTGCTGCTGCGCGGTCATGCTCAAACAAGGGCAAGCTTCTGACTCTGCGTTTGGTAACTGCACCTGCAGTTGCAAATGGTTAATGGCTGCTTTCACAGATGCTGTGTGTGTTGTAGTTCATCTTGATGACGTTTTAATTCATAAGTAGTCATTTGATGAAGTGGATTTTTTACAGAAGGAAAGATGCAGGAGTTTGGTCAATCAGACAGTTCCAAAGTGAGAGACAAATAGTGATTTCATATATGATAAGTGGACATACCTTTTTTTTCTGGCAGCATACTCTTTTATTTCCCATCACTGTATACAGGTAACCAAATAATTTAAGGAAAATTATAAAGGAGAGCATAAACATTTGCCTGAATTGATCAAATCTTAATTAGCTTTAACTAACAAAGACTGACAAAGTCTCCTTTTTTACTACTTTGAAAATTTCTTGAGAAGTAGGTTATGCTGCACTTCAGATGAGGAGCCCACCTAGTGCTGGAAGTCAGCCTAGTAATTAGCACATTCCTTTTGGCCTCTGGTACTTTCTTTTGGGTTTTATTCTGGTTGTTTTTGTTGGGGTTTTTTTGATGGTTTTTAAGTGATGCTGCACTCCCATAGTTAAGGCGCATAGAATTGGCTAAGACATGCATACAGTAGTTCTGTTTGCTTGATATTTTTTCTTTTATTTGCTTTCAGATAGCTTTCAGCTGAAACTTTTAAGGGGACAGCGTGAATAAGAAATTTTAAATTATTTGCCTTTAAGGTAAAAGCGATCTTATTGTCCAATTGATGCCCATATATTTCCGTGCCAAAAACTGAGATGTGCTTTCTCATCTATGGTAGTACCATGTATCAACTTCTAGGAACCATTCAAATGTCAAATACTGATTTGGGCCTCTGTTTACTGGAGATGACAGCTTTTGGGGGAGGGTAGTTTGGGATGCAATTATTCTATAGGAAGGTATAACAGCAGAGAGCCAGCTGTGTAAATATTTGCTGATCTGTTACATTATCTCATTCTGTCTGACAGCAAACATGAGGTCAGCGTCAGAAGAGCCAGTCCCGTTACATGAAGAATTTATCTACTGCTGTGGAGCTGCTACCCATGTCTTGAAGTGTGGGCCCTGGAAAGACCTCTCAAAAGATGAAAGCAAAAATCTACCCAGGCTCTTATTCATGATTATTCCTGGTAAGGGCCTCTTCTTGTTTCAGTCCTTAGAAATGTGATGACTGGAAAGGATATCTTCAATTTCAGTTTCAAAAATCTCACTAGAGAAGTGGTAGAATTTGGCCTGTGCATGTGGCCAAAGAATAAATAGTACTGCAGTGTTGAAATTTCTTTGTTATATTTGATTACTACTGTTATCTGTATTTGTAATGGTGATGTAAAGTATAGCTTAGAAGTTAGGATGTCTCACTCCTTTGCTCTGTGGTGGTGGTGCTTTGCTGACAGCGTTGTGGGTTGTGTTTTTTTTTTCCATTGCTCTCTACCCATTTATTTCTTGCGTGTTGAAGTGGTACTGCAGTGTCAGCCTCATGCCAACTAAAAGATGAAAGTTACAATATTTGAGAGAAAACTCTGGATATGGTAGTTTTTAAAGTGTTTTTTTTTAATGGTAAATGTGTTTTAACTTATGTTTTTGTACTTGGATTTTTATGATAAGCCTCTTGAACTCAGTGAGCATCGTATAGTTCTGAGTTACATTTAAATCTGGTCATCTTAAAAATGAAAGCTCTAAAGTTTCATTTAGCATATATTAAAATTAATGAAGAAGACCTAAATTCATTGAAGTTTGCCAATGAACTGTAGGAGTTCTACCTTTAGCAAAAGTAGAGTTTGAGCCCGCTCAAGCACAGATATTGTGACTTTTTCACTGCCTTAGACTTTGCAGATTTCTAATGTTTCCCATAATTTATATGAATGTTTTGGATGCTATTGTTACTTCCCCTAAATCAGTGATACAAATAATGACTCTTCTGATTATCCAGAGTTATGGCTTACTGTTTCTGTAAGAGTATCCTCTGGGCCAGTGTGCAGGTTGGTCCTTACTTAGTGGTGAAAGAGAGTACAGGTTCCATTTTTCAGATTTTTTGCAAGGTTTTGGAGGCCCCGTGGAATGTTTTATGTTAGTTTATTTGGGCACAATTATTTTATGCCCTTGCCTCCTGGAGTTGAATGATAGTGTAACTTTTAACCCAGTGACAGTGAAGTTTAAATTCTTCTGTTAACTGAAAAGAAGAAATAAGCCTGCCTTGATTACATCTTGCTCCTGTTTCGTGGGAATGACTTTTTAAGCCAGATACCATATCGTGTCACTTTTTAGTAAAAGACTATCTGCATGGATTCAAGTTGTCAAACAGTTTTCTGGAGGTACAAGCCTGATTTGGTGCTTTTCAGTTGCTGCTTTCTTCCATTTAAGGCATTTCTGGAAGGCTTAAATGAACAGCCAAGTTAAGTGTTTCTTTTTTTCCCCAAGCTCTGGAGCTTTCATCTCTCTTGGGGTTGTGATACCCTTGTATTTGGGTTGGTGGTACAGCCTGTAACTAGGGTAAATCTGTAAAGTTAGCTTTTATCGGTAGAAAGATTTGTAGGGGAACAGCACAAAAGTCAAACATTAGCATCCAAGGCAAGGCACGTCTGCAAGGCAGGTGAGTTATTCTGCTCAAACTATATTGAGTCACACAGACTTTATATGCTCTGTATTCATCACAGGAAACTTTGCATGCAGCAAAATGTAGTGGCAGGGCTTACATGGAGCTTATTTCCTGCAGAACAGTTCTGTGAACCCTCCTTAATGACATCTTACATGAACTAGATAGGTATCCAGAAATAGACATCAGTGAAATACTCAGAGTTCTTGTGTAACGGTCTGCAAGCTTTTGCAAGCAGCTGATTTATGGTTTTGCTCTTATTTCAGAATTATGTTGGTAACGAACTGGAGGTTCTCTCACTGAGGAAACAATTAAAAAACACAGCAACCACAGTAATACTGTGTTCATTTTAGATACCCAAATTCAGCAGTGAATCAAGTTACCCAGGCCCCTTGCTGTGGCTGGCAGGGAGCTGCCTAGGACCTGGCATACCATAACACAGCTTTGCTTCTTGTAAATCAAGTGTTTTTTTCCTACTGGTATATGCCGCATTTTTAGCCTTCAAGCGAAATTCTATCTGCCAAAACAAAAAACACAGCCTGAGGAGAGATCTGGACATTTGGGTCATCTGGCAACATGTTCGTGTACCTAAACAGGATTAGATGGCATTCCCCTCGTGCTTTTGTAGCTTCCTGAGTGTGAAATGTGGAACCCTTTTGGAGTCCAGCAATTTTCACACTTGAAAGGCATGTATCCCTAGTTGAGATTCCTTATGGAATGAAATAGAGGAGCAAAAGGATAGCTTGGTACAGGTCGAGGAAAGAAATACCCAGACAAAGGCAACCCTGACTCAAAAAGGAGAGTGTGCACAGCCAGGTGTGTTCAGGGATCTGAACCAATCGTAGTTAGTCCTACTGCATGGGGTACGTTGTTCTGTATTAACCTGCTCTGGAACATACTTTTCCAGTCTTAAGGAGATTCATGCATATGATTTTGTTTATATGTTACAAACAAAACAGGGTTGGGGGTGGATACAGAAGAGAGAGATGATAAAATTTTTAGCTTCTGCTGGAATTGAGTTGTTACCAGAGACTTGAGAATAAATCCTGTATACTTTTTTTATTTTTGCCTTTTTTTGTCAAATTTCATCGTAATAGGGAAGATTTCTGTCTAGTCTGACTTGTTTTTTTAAAAAAGGGGGGTGAGGGAGGAAGCTGACTCCAAAACATTCTTCTACTCTGAAATCAATGGCAAAATTCGTACTGCCTTTGAATGAGGCAGGATTCTGCCTCCTGAGGACTGACAGCTCGCTGCACTTGAAGCAGCTGGAATACAGAACGTGCAGGGGAGTTCAATCTCATTCAACTACAACAAGCGAATGTTTTTATTAATGGCAGTCTATGTGAACTTATAATTTTAATAAAGTTTTACTATGTTAGTCATAATGTTTAATGTACGCTTCTTTGTTCAGTAACATTTTTTTCCTTGTGTAAGGAAAACTTTTGTATAGGAGTAATAATCTGTTTACTGAGCAATTACTGTGTACAAGGCCCAGTTCTTCCTCAGTCCAGAATATATGCATATACTTGTTTGCCTTAATATGAATTCTTTTCTATTAAAATCTATGAGATTTACTCAGGAGAGTAAAAGTAAATGTGTACAGTTAAGGATCAGGTCCCTGGTTTTCTGGAAATGTAGGTGTTATGGAAAGGACAGGAATTACTTTTTTTTCCTCTTGTGTCAGAAAGGTCTGTTTTCCCTTTTGCGGTGTTTGTTTAGTGTAAAATTAGCAGTGAAGTATAAAATCTACTACAGCAATATTTAACATTTCTTGGGTTCATTGAAAGCCAGGATCCACAAAGTGTAATGGAATATTTTTTTACTGTTTTAAGAGTATCTGTCTATTTGTGTCTCTGTATTTATGAAACATTTGACTCTGTAAATAAATACAGTACAAATTTTAAAACCGCCATGCTGTTTAGCTCATGAAGTTTTGCTGTTTATCGAGTTGAAGTGCATTGCAGTACCTTCGTTCCAGGCTTCATAATTTTTGTTACCATTGCCATAAACTAGACAGTTTTGTTATTTGCAATCTTGTACTCGAGAAGCTTAGTTCACAGTTGATAATGTATAGTGTAAATAAAATTTTTTGTGGTAAAGCATGCTACACAAGTTCTGTTCGTTAATTGACAGAACTAATTTCAGAATTTGGTGCTTTGGCATGCGTGCAGAGTACTCCCTATGCTTGCCAAGTTGCTTGATCTGCCTGCTTGCAGTTGGGTTGCTGCTGGGTGATTGGATCATCTTATTGTTTTACCAACTCATGCAGTGACTTGGTGATGTTTAAGGCCTATGAGGACTTAACCAGACACTCTTTTTAAAGTTTACAGATCTAATCTCCTGAGCTGATCATCTGAGTCAGGAGTTTCTTATGATTTTCTGCACAACAGAAAGTGAGGGCTTGGATTCTAATCTTCTCCTAGGAGTAGTTACCATGTACTTACATCAACAAGGCTGTTGCCACTTGAAGAATACTTAACTGTTTTTCAGCAGTGAAAATGGTGCAAGCAATTTGCCTGGATTATGACAAGTCTTTAATGTGTTCTCCCTTGGAAGTGAGACGACTTCTTAGCTTAAAAATCTTTGAAGTTCTATTTTTGACTAATGAAGAGACTCTGGAAAGCTTTCAATACATTATCTGGCTTTGTCTTCACCTGCTGTTTTCATATTTAACAATCATCACCCTCGACTTTTGCATAAGATAAGTTATATTAAGAATCACTGTATAATAATGCTAAAATCAGGTGTATAGCCCTGCAGCTTAGTTCCTTTGTATTTAGCTTTTTTGGCTCCCGCTAAAACAGCTTTTTTAAGTTGTGAAGCATTCATTCTGTTCAGCAGTCACTGGGATGGGATAGTTCTTCAGAGTTCTGCTGTCGCCACTGACACCAAGGGGTTGCTTAATAATAAAAAAATCTATTTCCTCATTCTACAAACTGTGTAGAACATATTTACTCCAATTCTCGTCAATTTGGTTTTAGAATGTGCTTTGATTTATACAAAATTTATGTGATTAAATGTGCCTGTTGGTACGTAATCTGTATGTCATAACCATTAGTCTGCAAGAACTACATTGGATCTAGTAAGGACTCATGGGATCGGCAGATTAGGTTGCAGTGTAAATCTTCTGGCAAACTTGGCCAGAATGTAAACCAGAGTCCTGTATGTGAATCGTGGTATTTAATGTGTGATTAAGATAATGAGGGTGCGTCAGAACTCTTTATCTGAAGCAAAACCTGACTGAGTTACTCAAGGAAGGTCCCTCCATCCTCTCAGACGCTACTTTAGAAGTCAGCAGCTGGTGTTTCCTTCCCCAGGACACAGGAGTGTTCACCGTTTGCCTTTGAAATACAACCGGAGGGAAGAGTAATGCTGCTGGCTATGGACAGCTGGGTTCAGAGTAAAGATGGCTTTTTACCTCCTGGACAAGGGGACTTGTGGGTTCTGGGTCATGTTCTGCTACCTATGGTTTATGCTCACAGCCACTGAATGAGCTCCAGCGACAATTCTGTGAACAAAGTTAAGAACCTGTTCTGT